AATTATAGTTTAAGAAAAACAATTAAACAAATATTTATAAATTATTATGTAATTACAACAAAATGTTTGTACCTTGTGGATTACCCTCTACTTAATCTGTGGAATAATTTAAAATGTGGAAAAGCAAAGTTATAGATTTTTTTTATTTTATACTCTATGCTTTCCTCTATTTCCCAGATTTTTCGTAACATTATTATTTTTATACACAAGAGTCCTTGGGCAGTACAAACTGTTAACATGCTAGGCTGCTAACTGAAACATGGGAAGTTTGAGTACACCCAGAGACACCGTAGAAGACCTGACAACCTACTTCTAAAAAAGCAGTCAATCAAACCCTATGGTTCTAAACTCAGATACATGAGCTCTAACTCAGGAGAATGAGTTGGAATTAACTTGCAGGTAACTGGGAATATACCTAGAACACTTTATAATAGAAACTTGCAATATTAGCAATATTTTATCAATTACCAATTTTAACAGCAAACAAAGATGAGGCCATGGACATTTCTCATTCATTCAAACCCACTACGTTTCAAAACAGGACAGTAAATGACATTTTTATGGAATAAAGTATTTGAAATGATTTGTTTGGATTGAATGGTATTTGCACCCCCATCCAAAATCTGTACTTGTAGATGTGAAAACCTGTAAAAATAAAACAACCTGAACTTGTTACCATCAAGTCGACTCTAATCCATAGTGACCCTATGAAGAGGGAAGGCAAATTGCAGAGCAGGAATCCTGCTAGGATAGGGGCTACTTTACAAACTGGAGGGTTAAACTGATGAGAGGATGCTGCTAAAAACCAAATTTCTATGTCAACAGTCACCAAGATGAAGACTTAACATTAAATCCATTGGACAGAAAAGAAAACAAAAAAAGATATGGAATCATCAACATGACTTTTTAAATCTTACAGTATGCTTATATAATAACATATAGCAGGTAAACATTATGAAAAAAATATGGCGAGGACATTATTTATGTAAAACAAGAGATGTAGGAAAATGGTTCATTTTGAATGCAAGCTTTACTACTAAAGTTCAAAGAGATAACTGATGAGCTTTCTCCAGATAATAATGAAAATAACTCATATTAGAGTTTATGTTACCATAATTAAAAAGCAACAATTCTGAAAGCAGTTTGAAAAACAAATCAACTTTAAAAACTTACTGAATCTTTCACTTAGAAGCAGTAGATTCCCTAAAGAACCACAGATAGAAAAGATTCTGCTATAATAACATTTGCTTATTTGCAGTATAAAAAATTTCATACTTCTCAATTCACTGATACATAAAACAATACAAATCAACTAAAATTAAGTACCAACTGCTACATCATTGGACTCCTGGTGTGGCACTGTGGGTTAGGGCACTGGACTGCAAGGTCACTTTGAACAGCAAGATCACCAGCCGCTCCTCAGAAAACCCTTTACAGGGTCTCTAAGAGTCGGTATTGACTGGACGGTACTTAACAACTTTATCACTGGCACAGAGCTCATCAAAGCTTTCAGACTTCTAATCCTTAATAAGTAGTATTAACACACAATGTGCCTTAACAGTAGAGGTAATATTATGAATTAGCAGACTATTTCTCTAAAAAAATCAAAATAATAAACTAAATATATGAGAATATCTGTCCTATGAGTTAATTTCAATCAAACTCTTAAATCACAATGACAAGATTTCAGAGAGGTCAATGTTGGTTAGTGCCGTTGAGTCATTTCCAACTCACAGAGATCCTATAAAGGGTTTCTGAGGAGTGGCCGGTGTGTCTGAAATGCTGACCTGAGGTTAGCAGCCCAGTGCTTCTCCTACAGCACCATTTAAAGCTAAGAGAAAGCAAGAAGGGTAAAAAGACAGGGAGTTCACAGAGCAATTTGCAGGCACCGAGGGTGGAAGAGAATGGGGTGTGTGTGTGTGTGTGTGTGTGTGTGTGTAAGGGTAGAAATTGGGGGGATATATGTTGCTGTTATGTGCCATGGAGTCGGTTCCAACTCATAGTGAAACCACCCCAAAACTACCAGAATGAATGCATCAAGACTTCAACTTAAAACACTTCATTTGGAAGACAAATATCATATGTCACTGTTATTGTTAAGTGCTATAGAGTCAGTTCCAACTCATAGCAACCCTATATAGGGTTTCCAAGGAGCGCCTGGTGAGTCTGAACCGCTGACATTGTGGTTCAAACCTATAGTGCAGTCCAGTGCATTAACCCACAACATATGATTAGTAAAAATTCTAAAAAATGTCACTTAAATTAGAATGTCCTACATATTGCTATTCAAGGTGCTCTTGTAGCATTGCCGTTCCGAGTCAGGCTGCTAATCTCTCAGTCAGCAATTTGAAACGACCAACAATTCTGCAGGAGAAAAGATGAGGCTTTCTACTTACGTAAAGATTTACAGCCTGGAAAATCCTATATAGGGTTGCTAGGAGTTGGAACCGACTACACAGCACATAACCACCACCACCATCACATACTGCTATTTAAATTTTCCTATTAAGACAAAATTCTCTCAGGTTTTGGGTTTTTGTTGTTGTTGTTACTTGACAAATTTAAGTTTAAGGAATATGTAAGTATTTCTCTTCGTTGACTAATAAACTCTTCGTTATTGTTCAGTGCCATCATGTTGGTTCACGCTCATAAGATCCTGTATAGAACTTCCCAGGGAGTGGCCAGTGGGCTTTAATCACTGCCCTTGTGGTTAGCAGTCCAGTGCTGATCCTACAGCGCCACACCAGAACATGTAGCTTATTTTCATAAAACTACTTTTAATGCTTTATTATCATGGAAAGGAATCTTAAAATTTCAAATAAAACATACATTTTTTTTTCACCCAACAAGAGGTACCATATAAAGTATTTTATGTTATGATCAAAAATTGGATATTGACAGAACATTGCATAACTGTCACTTTTTTCATTATAATTTTCTTCTTCTGAGCCTGAAACATCTAAATTTAATGAATTAATTTTATTTTCCTGGACAGATTTTTTTAAAACACAAAAAATTTCCTTAGTGGCTCTACTCAACTATCAAATTTGAAAAGTGCCTTATCAATTTTTTTTTTTTTTGAGTCACATCTCTACATGTTAATTTTCTGTATAGTGTTTATTTTCTATTAAGTAATTCATCAATCTTAAGATTATAACAAAAAAAGTAATATAACTGCAATACTAAAAACTATACATGAATATAAAATACAGCATTTAAAAACACAGTTAATACTTAGATCCTAAATTTAGAACAAAAAATTCTTGTACAGAACACAATTCCTTTTCTCTAGACACAATAACTATTTTCTACCACGGACACTGCTGCATTTATTGTTTTCTTCTTCATGACTTATTATGAATTAAATCATACCATGGAGCAACAGACGGAGCTCTGACAGCATAGTGGTTACGAATTGGGCTGCTAACCTCAGGGTCAGAAATTCAAAACTACCAGCTGTTCCACAGGAGAAAGATGAGGCTTTCTGCTCCCAAAAAGATTTACAGCCTCAGAAACCCTCCCTGTACAGGATCACTATGAGTGGGAAGCGACTCCACGGCACATAACAACAACAACAACAAAGGAGCAACAGAATCCATTTTTATGCATACCCTACCTTTTCTTTAGCTCTGAGATTCTAAGAAGTGGACCACTGATATACATGGTGGCGGTGTGGCATGGAGTCAGTTCTGACTCACTGCGACCCTGAGGCTGTAAATCTTTACCGGAGCAGAAAGCTTCATCTTTCTCTGGTGGAACAGCTGGTAGTTTTGAACTGCTGACACTGAGGTTACCAGCCCAACTCATAGCCACTATACTACCAGAGGAAGCTGCTTATCATACACATTATCAATTTTCTTGATAACCAAACTGTACAGAGAAATACCTGAACTCCCTTCTGACCTAGAACTGACTAGATCCTACTGACTAGAACCATTAATTGACCTAGCTTTCAAAAAGGAAACACTGCAATTATATGGATAAAAAAACCTGGAGAAAATATGGAGCAAACGCCAATTTTGTGAAGTTACATTCACAACAATTTGCTCTATTTTCTCCCCTTATTTTCAGTATATAGCATAAAAACTAGAGGGGGAAATCTGTATTAATATTTTAAAATTAGAATGTATTACCGTGAACATTAGCAAAAGATTAATATCATCTTCTTTTATCTGGGTGCACACTTTAGTGATTTGTTTTTCAAAAGCAAAATCTACAACAGTATTGCAAATACATTTAATTATATTTTATACTCTTAACCTTACCACATTTCATAATTGAAATAGATTTAGTCTGGCAATATGCCAAATGTTTTAACAAGCAATTAGCAGAACAGAGCGCCACTTACTGGTTTTTAGTTATTAGTCACATGAATACTTAAAAGAGAAACAAGATAACAATTTCATTCAGAGATGAGTAGTAAATTTTAATAGACTCATACCACTCTAAGAAGATGAGTACAGCAGTTACCTTCACAGCACATTCTAACAACAAATTATATTAGAATTACCTCTTAGTGCTGAAGCTTAGAATCAAAAACACACTTAAAAATCAAGGGAAAAGTATATAAATTAATATAATCTTAATAAATTAACAATAGAGTAGTTGTTTTATATAGAGATTTTACTTACAAAGGTAGTATATAAACAAATATTTACTTGAAAATTGTGTCTAAGCTCACGTTATTTTTATGCCTTTTGGGACAACTGGCTTATATACAGTTTTATTTGGGATCTGTATTGTTGAAGTGTTGTTTTAAAGGTAATCAAAGAATGCAATGTTTTGCTTAATAGGTAAAAAGTTGAGAAAACAGTTTTCTAAGTATTATTTTTTAAAAACAGAGAGAGCAATTTAAGCTAATTTCAAATTCAACTTTCCCTTTAAATGGGTCTGACCATCAACTCATTTCAAAAGTGTTGTTTTCATATCCACTAACAACTTGGTAGAACTGTCTAACTTTCAGAGACATACTAGTCGAGCCTGACATGAGAATTACTTACCTTGGTTTGGTTGCATATTCATATTTGGTCTGGGGCCATAGTTTCCCATTGGTTGGCCTTGACTCATCGTCATCTGACTCTGTACTGGCATGCTCTGTGATGATGGTACGGAATGGTTATAACCTCCCATGGATCCATGGCTACTTGAAGGCATATTCATGGAACTATTTGTCATATTGAGCTGATTGGGTCCAGGTCCCTGCATAGGCATATGGTTAGGTCCTTTGAAGAAAAATGATCAGAAGCAAAATATGAAAGTTAAATAGATCACCTGTACAAAAGTACCTTAGGAAACTTTCTATTTTTTGTATTACTACAATTTTTAAAAAAGCTAACAATAACTGAATATTTAGTCAATAGCAAAGTAAATGCTAAACATGAATGACAGCAAACCTGTGAGATAGATGTATTTATTATTCACATTTTACAGATTAAGAAATTGATGCTGAAAAACCAAAAACATTCTGCAAAAGAAGAGTAATAAGGGAGGACCAGTTTATAAGAGTGAAAACATACCATAAAGTTGAAATAAGGTAAGTGTAGTACTAGCATACAAGGGATGATTAAGAGAGATCAATGGACCAAATAGAGTGTAACAAACTAGACTCAAATGCTAATTTAGTAGATAATAACAGTGGTGATATTAAACATCAAGGGTCAAAAGAAAGACAATTCAATAAATGCTGACAAATGAGTAGCCATTTGGAGAAAAATAGGTTGGATTCCTATCATCTTCAATTCCAACAAAACCAATTCCAGATGTATAAAAAATTAAAACACCAAAAAAGAGAGACCATAATAGTACTACAATCTATACGAGAAATGTTTAATAATCTTAGACTAGAAGGGCCTTAACTAAGTCAGAAAACTCACAGCCATAAAAGATTGATAAACTAGATAATATAAAAATGAAACATTTGTACATGAACAAAATATAAAGACGAAGAAGAGTATCTGGTGGGGAGACAGACGAAGAAGATTATCTGGGGGACAAAGTGGGGAATCATTTATAAGACATATAACTAAACTAATTAAGTAATATAAAAGAAAAAGACAAGCATCAAATAAAAAGACCACAACCAGTAAAAAGAATGAACAAAGAACATGAAAGACCAGTTCACACACAAACTGCAAAAGAGCTCATATACGTACATGAAAAAACTGATTGCTTCATTTGTAACAGAAAGGCAAATTAAATGAAAACATCTTTTCATTTCTCACATTTGCAAAGATCAAAAGTTTTGATTCAAAAATATAATGAAGAAAAAAGCACTTTGATATACTGTCAAGGGAATACAAATGTAAATTAGCTATCAAATTTTAGAAGGATATATCCATATGCAGTAATTATACTTCTACGAAGGAATTTACCCTATAGATAGACAAATACATATTTTTGCGTTTGTATATACATGTACGTGTATGGATGGATGCGTATAGTACACACACACATATATATCCATGGCAGAATAATTTACAGTAACAAAAGACTGGATACAACCTCTATTTCCATCATACGGAGACTGCCCAATTAAATTAAGAGTTGTTGTTAAGAGCCATCAAGTCAGGCCCAACTCACAGCAACCCAGTTTAGGTTTTCTGCGGAACGACTGGTGAGTCTGACCTGCTGACCTTGTGGTTCACCAACGTTGCAGTCCTGCACTTATCCTATAGCCCTCTACCAGGACTCTTCCCAGAAAAAAATGAATGTAATGCAGAAAAAAAACAGGAAATGATGGTCTCGAAAATGTATCTCTGGTAGTGGTGGTGGTGGTGGTTGTGTTCCATCAAGTTGGTTCCAACTCATAGCAACACCATATAGGGTTTCAGAAGCTGTACATCTTTACAGGAGCAAAAAATCTTTCTACCATGGAGTAAATGGTAGATTCGAACTGATGATTGAGGTTAACAGCCCAGCTCACAATATGTTATGTTACCAGGACTTCAAAATATGTTAAGAGGGGAAAAAAGATACAAGGTACTTAATTGTTGTTGTTGTTGTTATGTGCCATCAAGTCGGTTCCGACCCATAGCGACCCTGTATAGGGTTTCCGAGGGTGTAAATCTTTACGGGAGTAGAAAGCCTCATCTTTCTCCCGCGG